CATCCATCCATCCATCCATCCATCCATCCATCCATCCATCCATCCAGGCCGTTTGGTTCTGTTATGGGGTGGGGCGCCCTGCTTGTATAACGGTAGGGGAAACACTGTGTATAAAGTTAGTCGTGCAGGTATTTGAAATAATTCAGATTAAATGTGTTGAAGTGAAGTAAACTTCAGCTTGTTGAACTAAAACTCTTGGCAACTTAAAAGGATCGTCTTAAAGTGTGTCTGAGCCCACGTGGAATCAGTCCGATGTAAAAAATAAATAAAAAGTCCCGTCTGTTTCTGATGCGAGGCAGCGCTGGCCTTCATTTCGCCGCACTGACCTCTGACTTGCTGCTCCAAGCTGAGGATGACGGCCACGGCCTGGTGGAGGATGAGGAGCTTCGTCTGGGGCTTCTCACTCTTCAAGTGCAGCTGACACATGCGGCCCAGCTCCTTGAAGGCCTCGTTGATGTCTCGAACCCTCAGGCGTTCTCGAGCGTTGTTGGCCATCCTCCTCTCGCGCTCGCGCTCGGCCTTCTGCTCTGGGTTCAGGTCCTCATCTTCAGTGATGCTGCTTGGTGAACAGAAAGTAAAAAAGAATAAAGCAGAAGTCGAGACTTTTCAGAGCGAACGTAAATTAGACACTAAAACAACAAGGAGCACAGTAAACAAACATTACGAACATTTGTCTCAAGTGTCAGGCTCACTCCTCGGTATATTACATACTTTGGACACTATTTAGTTTAACTCAAAAATAACTCCATTTCTAAAAAAAAAAGCATTCTTGTGCTAGAAATCTACCTGGTGCGCAGGCTTGTTCTAGGTGTCCTCATGTCTCTTCCGTCGCTCTCGTCATCCGATTTGTCATCAGAGAGGTTATCGTGCATCTCGTCTTTTTCTTGTTTCTCAACCTTCAGCTCCAGGGAGGTCAGCACCTGGCCAGGCAGCCCCGGGGTGAGACCTGTCATGGGTGAAGTAAACCTGGAGGTAAGACACTGAACAGAACGTTCACAGATCCGGGTCAGCGGCGTAAAGGTGCTCTGACCTCTGAACGCCTCCACTTGCTGGCTGAGCTCCGAGCTGGACGTGGAGCCGGGCAGACCCCCATGGCTGTTGCTCAGGCTGGCAGCGTCATCGCCGCCCTGCTGTAACACGAACAGCGCGGACATTAAAAGACAGGACGCAGCAGAGGCGGCGTACGGTATATTCAACAACAGAATCAGCTGGTTGGGAGGCTAAAACGGAAGATCTTTTGGTTTCTAACGCAAAACATGACATAAAAATAGTCAGTGCCTTGTAGCGTGGCTCATTTCTACTGGCCTAAACATTTTAGATAATGAATATTGTCCTTAAAAACACCTATACAGTAGTCCCTCGTTTATCACGTACCCTGAAGCCCCGCGATGT